ACAGTCTTGCTCTGTTGCCCTGGCTAGAGTGCTAAATTTTTAATTTTTGTAGAGACAGGGTCTGGTTGTGTTGCTCAGGCTGGTCTCAAACTTCCAGCCTAAAGCAATCCTCCCGCCTTGGCCTCCCAAAGTGCTGGGATTACAGGCATGAGCCACCACACCTGACCTATTTTCAGTTTTTTTGAGAAAACTCTATACTGTTTTCCATAATGGCTGTACTAATTTACATTCCCATCAACAGTATATAAGAGTTTCCTTTCCAGCTTCTGCTGTCGTATTTCGGAGGCGCCCGTGCTTGGGAGGCTTGTGCCTCCTACCTGCGAATGCTTTGCTCGCTGATAAAGGCGCGTAGATAGTGGCTACGACCTGTGGGCTGGGATGATACATGCTCCCGGTGGAAGCAGGGGAGCCGAGCCCAAGCCATGGCCAGTACAGTGGTAGCAGTTGGATTGACCATTGCTGCTGCAGAATTTGCAGGCCGTTATGTTTTGCAAGCCATGAAGCATATGGAGCCTCAAGTAAAACAAGTTTTTCAAAGTCTACCAAAATCTGCTTTCAGTGGTGGCTATTACAGAGGTGGGTTTGAACCCAAAATGACAAAACAGGAAGCAGCATTAATACTAGGTGTAAGCCCTACTGCCAATAAAGGAAAAATAAGAGATGCTCATCGACGAATTATGCTCTTAAATCACCCAGACAAAGGAGGATCTCCTTATATAGCAGCCAAAATCAATGAAGCTAAAGATTTACTAGAAGGTCAAGCTAAAAAATGAAGTTAATGTATGATGAAGTTCATATTAGTTTATGTACATGAATACCAACTTTTTATAATAAAATACCTCAGAGCTACAGTTTAAAAAAAAAAAGAGTTTCCTTTCCTCTTACATATGGAGTGAGATGATATCTCATTGTGGTTTTGATTTTGCATTTCCCTGATGATTAGTGATTTTGAGCATTTTTTCCATATACCTGTTGGCCATTTGTATATCTTCTTTTGAGAAATGTCTGTTCAGATCATTGCCAAGTTTTAAATTGGATTTTTTTTTTTTTTTGGCTGTTGAGTTCCTTGTATATCTGGGATATTAGTCTCTTGTTGGATGAATAGTTTGCAAATATTTTCTCCCATTCTGCAGGTTGTTTCTTCACTCTTTTGATGCTTCCTTTGCTGTGCAGAAGCTTTTTAGTTTAATATTATCCCATTTGTCTATTTTTGTTTATGTTGCCTTTGCTTTTAAGGTCTTAGCCATAAAAATCTTTGCCCACAACAATATCCTGAAGCATTTTACCAGTGTTTTCTTCTAGTAGTTTCACAGTTTCAGGTCTTATGTTTAAATCTTTAATACATTTTGAGTTGATTTTTATACATATTGAAAGACAGGGGTCTAGTTTTATTCTTCTGCATATGGATATCCAGTTTTCCCAGCATCATTTATTGAAGAAACTGTTCTTTTCCTGGTGTAGATTCTTGGAGCCTTTGTCAAAAATCAGTCAGCTGTAAATACGTGGATTTATTTCTGGATTATTTCTGGATTCTCTATTCTGTTCCAGTCTATGTGTCTGTTTTTATACTAATACCATGCTGTTTGGGTTACTACAGCTTTGTAATATATTTCGAAGTCAGGTAGTGTGATGCCCCCAGCTTTTTCTTTTGGCTCAAGATTGTTTTGGCTATTTGAGGTCTTTTGTGGTTCCCCATGAATTTTACAATTCTTCGTTCTATTTCTGTGAAGAATGTCATTGGTATTTTGACAGTGATTGCATTGAAGCTGTAGATTGCTTTGGGTAGTATGGTCATTTTAACAATATTAATTCTTCTGATCCATGAGCATGGGATGTCTTTCCATTTGTTTGTGTTCTCTTCAATTCTTTATCAGTGTTTTGTAGTTTTCCTTGTAGTAAAATGTATTTATTAGTGCTTAACCCTGGACCGATTTTTTTCTTTGGATTAGTGTTTCCCAGAGAGGCTTGATGCATATATTTGTGCAACTCTTCCCAGGAACAATGACGTTTAAAAAGAGAATTTTTGGAAAAGAGATGCACACATGCAGGTCTGATGCTGGAATTTCCAGTGCTGTGGTGGGGCAGACATTTTTCTTCCAGTAGCTTTTTTCTGGACTTTCTCTTAAAAGTGACTAGAGCACTAACCAGGGAGGAGCAAGCACATTGGAAAAATATAGTGTGTATGCTTTAGAATAAGGAGGAATGGGGAAAGAGGAGGCACATGGACAGTGGTATAATGATATGGGTTCTAATGTTGACTTTTGTTGTGAACTTGGAAAAATCTTGTAGTTTTTGAAAAAAACATGTTTGTTTTCCTGCTGAAAGAAGTGCTCCTTTTGGAGGGTGAGGATCCTCTCTTACTGAGGTCTGTATTTTCAGGCCTTAGCGTATATTAATAAATCTGCTACATAGTAGACATTCAACTAGTGTTGGATGAATAAAGGTGAACACAGCACTTTCCTCACCTGTAAAACCAGGGCTTAGAACAAATGATCTGCAAAAAGGGTCTTTTCATACTCTTATTACTCTAGTATTGAAGAATAACTGATGTTCTTCCTTGTTAAGGCTCAATTCCAGGTTTGAGCCATGCCTGAGAGAGTAGCCTAACCTCATTACCACCCTGAACTCTCTGGGGTCAGTGGGACCCCGTTCGCATGGATATCTCTGTCCTCCAGATTTTTAGGACACTGATATGGAAGAAAGGAAACCTAATTTCCCATGTCTTGTCCCTTTTCTGGGAAGGGCACAGCAGGGTGTGGGCACCACACCTGCTCCAGTCTCCTAATGAGAAATTGCCACAGCCTTCCCCGCCTCCTGAAAAGCGCTCTTCTCCAGGTGCGTCTAGATGCCCCCTTCCCAACCAGGGCGGAGAGCCAAACACTCCCCTCCCGTGCAGGGTAGGCTTGGAACGGCGCCGGCCCCGCCCTCCCCGACTGCCGAGCAGGTGACCGGCCGCGGGCGGACGGCGTGCGGGGTTAGTTACCTGGCGCAGGGCGGGGCGGGCGGCGAGGGCGGGGTCGGGGTGGGATCCCGGGCTGCGATTGGGCGGCCCCGCGCCTGTCTCCATGTGCGGCGCGTCGGAGGCACAACATTCAAGCCCGGGGGGCGGGGCTGGCGCGCGCCAGGAGGAAACGGCCGCGCGGCAGCTGCGGGGCGTGGGGGCGGCGGCGGCTGCGGCCGAGGCCGAGGCGGCGGTGGCCTTGGAGGAGCCGGCTGCACCCCAGCCGGGGAGGGTGCACCGCCGGGCCCCCTTGCAGGCCCCATGGAGGCGGCCGCGGGCGGGGGCTGCGGCTCCGGGCCGCCGCCGCCGCTGCTGCTGAGCGAGGGCGAACAGCAGTGCTACTCCGAGCTCTTCGCGCGCTGCGCCGGCGCCGCGGGCGGGGGTCCCGGGCCCGGGCCCCCTGAGGCCACCAGGGTCGCGCCCGGCACGGCCACCGCGGCCGCCGGCCCGGTGGCCGACCTGTTCCGGGCGTCGCAGCTGCCCGCCGAGACGCTGCACCAGGTAGGTCCCGGCGACCTCTGTCTCTGCTGGTCTGTGGAGACCGTGTCCATGGGGACGGAGGTTGTGAATGGGGCGACAGGGCTGCCCCTAGGGACCCAGAGGCCTCGTTCAGCTCGCAGAGAGGGGGCTCTGCAGCCGAGGATGGCGGCGACGCCCTTGTCCCCCGGCACACCAGCATCCTCCGCAGCTTAACTCCTCTCCCAGTGCTGGGTGCGCTCCCGGTCTTCCTTCCCTGAGACGATCTGACACTCCTTTCCCTCCCCCGGCCATTTCTGGGGTTCTTCAGCTGCCCAGACCCAAAGTTTGCCCCGTTCTGGAAGTGGTGTTTGTTTTGGCTGATGTCTGGTTTAACCTCTGCTCACCGCTCCTGCCCCTCCCTCTCCTGAGTGGGCGCTCGGGGTGCCTTGCTGGGATTTGAACTTGAAGGGTGTGGGCCCTATGGCTTGGGGCCCAGAACTGAATGCTGTCCTTTCTATATATTTGTGATATATACGTATGTACTATATATATTTGCCCACTAATATATTTCTGAATATTAGTGCTAAACTGGAAAACCTTAATGACAAGTTGCAGAACAGGGACACAGGACTGCAAGAGGATGTTTTCAAGTCATAGCCAAGTTTCCCATTTGGGGCTGGAGGTGGACCTCAGAAGTCCACCATGGAGGACAGCCATAGTTTCCCATTTTATCAGTACTTGGACTTGAAATAGAATTGGAAAGTAAGGGGTATCATAGCTGCCTCCTTTGGGCTGCTCTATACCTGGCAAAAGACTAGGAGATGGTCCACAGTAGAGGTTGTTTTTGTTTTGTGCTTTCCCTGGAGCTTGGAGAAAGACTACTTGATAAGTCCTTTGTCATTTAATGTTACCACCACTTCATGGTGATAAGATTGTTAATATAAGGCCCAAAATGTGAAATGAAGCTTTTTTTTAAAAGCAATAGTATGAAAGTTATTAACACCAATTGAATGTTTAGAGTGGTGAGTGATATTTTAAAATCTAGTTCCAAAGGAGTACTGAGGATGTTATGGTTCACTTGCAATGTTATTGTGTTTGTAGGTTTTTTTAAAATTACTTAAGGCTGTGTGTTATATTGCTGGAGCATGCATATGCCTATATGTTGGTGAGCATAACTTCGGCCACTCTGTAATCTTTCAACTTTTCAAATTTAGGATTTCTGAAAATACAACTAGCATTCGTAGTACTTAGCATGGCTGTTTGTCCCCAAAGATGTCCTTGATATGTGGGCAGTTCTACCGCTGCTGATGAGCAGTTGAGCTGGACCAGCTAAAGAGAAAGTCAGTGTCCTAGAACACAAACCATGACTATTACATGAGGCCCTCAGAATACTCCTGAGCATAATAAATTTATTAAATGCTGTAGCTACTTCCCAGCTGCAAAAGAAATAATTAAGTGACTTGAGGCTATGCAGCAAGTAAGTGACAGCGGAGTACCTGTTAGGGCTTATTTTTTTTTAATTTTTTTTTTTTTGAGACAGAGTCTCACTGTGTTGCCCGGGCTAGAGTGCCGTGGCGTCAGCCTAGCTCACAGCAACCTCAAACTCCTGGGCTCAAGCAATCCTTCTGCCTCAGCCTCCCGGGTAGCTGGGACTACAGGCATGTGCCACCATGCCCGGCTAATTTTTTCTATATAGTTTTAGTTGTCCGATTAAGTTCTTTCTATTTTTAGTAGAGACGGGGTCTCACTCTTGCTCAGGCTGGTTTCGAACTCCTGAGCTCAAACAATCCACCCGCCTCGGCCTCCCAGAGAGCTAGGATTACAGGCGTGAGCCACCGTGCCCGGCCATGTTAGGGCTTATTTTGTTGTCAGTAATACATTGGATGTGATAAGAGGAGGCGGGCATATTATTAATAAATCTGAATACGTTGGTTGATGCCTCCTCAGGAATTGGGAGGGGGCTTCCCTGGTGTTAGAGCCCACACTTTTGTGAGGTACGCATGATTTAAAAAGAACCCAAAGCACAGTGCCTTTGCATAAATGAGATTTTATTTTTGATGTCCAATTGAAAACTGCTTGCAAAAGACTGCGTCAGATGCTGGCAAAGGGACGTCCCTAGAAGATTGCTTGGAGTAAATCTCTCAGAGCTTTAAGCTCCCTTACTCAGCTCAGCAGAACAAAACACATGCTTCCCCTTTAACCTAATAAAATTACAGTAACCTGATATTCTTGGTACAGGTGAAAATGAACATTGAAGGCATCCTGGACAGGGAAATGTAATCCTAAGAGAGTCGAAGTCAGCAACTGGCAGCCATCTAATTTTTACCCACCACTTTGATGGCATGTGTGTATGCTCCATTCACCTTAATTTGCGTCACCCCATCAATGTATTAGCCATTCTTTAATACAAATGTAGACGTTTTTACCTTTTCCCTGTTAAACAGGAACTTGTACGTTTAGATTTAAGTGGCCCAACAGGTATAACTGCTCAAATCATGGAGGCACTAACCAACCCCAGTAGTTTCTATGGTAACAGCCAGGTTTTTTTTTTCTTTTTTTTGAGACAGAGTCTCGCTCTGTTGCCCGGGCTAGAATGCCATGGCGTCAGCCTAGCTCACAGCAACCTCAAACTCCTGGGCTCAGGCAATCCTCCTGCCTCAGCTTCCCGAGTAGCTGGGACTACAGGCATGCGCCACCATGCCCGGCTAATTTTTTCTATATATATATTTTTAGTTGTCCAGATAATTTCTTTCTAATTTTAGTTAGGGACGGGGTCTCATTCTTGCTCAGGCTGGTCTAGAACTCCTGACCTTGAGCGATCCACCCGCCTCGGCCTCCCAGAGTGCTAGGATTGCAGGCGTGAGCCACCGCGCCCGGCC